TCTTAAAGTTAACTTCTCAAAAAGTTGTTCTCGTTTTGTTCTTATTTGATCCTCCTTGATAACGTTCTCTATACTTTCGTTCTAATTTTGTTCTCAATGAAAAAGTTCCCGAAAGCTTCGTTCACATTCTGTTCTTCATGAGAATCCCGAAGCTTTTGTTGTTTGGTCATTTTGTTCCCGTTCAAACCGCTCCCAATGCTTTAGTTTTTCTTTTAGTTCTTTTATGGAAACGTTCTTGACATTAAATTTTGCTCTCATTCAGAACTAAACCAAAACCGGAACGCGTTCTCGATCCTTGAAAAATATCAATACAAAATTGGTTCCCATATAAATAAGTTTTATCACAAATATATGCTAGTTTGATGGAAAATAGAAAAAGAGTCCAGAAGGACGCTTTTATGGATGCTAGTACTAAATCGATTTCTATTGGATTTCAATCAAAAAAAAAAAAGAGTAAAGTTAGCAAAATTTTGGAGGGTGAATTGTTCAGATAACACTCATCATCCTCGTAAAGCGGACACGTTAACACGTCAATTCAAGAGAAATTGAACTAAAGGACATTGTTGTTTATGTCCTGGTTTCGTATTAAGTACGTCTTGGTAACATTCCGATTTGGGACGTTCTGAACCTTTGACCTTATGGACAAATGATTCATAGTCGCATTTTTTTAGCTATTTTTCTGCTCGAAATATTTGTCTTTTTTCAAAAGATCCTTGACCCGTTTAGCTCTGTTCAGGTCGCCTGAACCAAATTTCCAACCAGATCCCACCTTTCGATCAATGTTTAAAACTTCCATTGATTTCGGTTAGTTGGATATTTGTCTATAAATCTGCGTAATTGATTTTTTTAGAATAAGCTGCCCGTTTTTTACTATTTTGGACCGCTGGAGTCTAATTGTGCGACGTGTATATGCTTAATGGGCTTCAACTGGGCCGGATTGCTAAAATGTATCTAAAAAAGATGAACAAATTTATCGATAAAACTAAACCTGATCCTGAGCTATGTTCAGACGTAGCTATCGACTACCAAATCTAAAAAAATGACAAACGTGTAAATTGTTGCTGAATTTCTTTGCTCTGCGAGATCCTTGAAAATACCGGCTTATTCACGCGCAGGTGAAGCACCTGGAAAAAATTATATATATTCATTTATGTAAACACATATACGTCGTCTGTATGTGCCTGTTTTTATATTAATTTGTCTATTGATCTAAACCAGAGGTTCCCAAACTTTGTTTACCCGTAGACCCCTTTCAAAATTTTACTGGTTTCAGTGGGCCCCCTTCTGCTACATTTCTAACACAGATCTACAGATCTAATGATGAAAATTTACATCGAGGCTGAGTTCCAAACTAAAAATTCGGAGCGGTAACAATGAAAATAGTATATTTTTTGGTGTTGAAGAGCGTTCTTTTATTTTTAACTGACAAATAGAAGGAAATTAGAATTGATTGCCTTCGAACTGAGTTGTAGTGAAGGGGAAGATTTAAATTGTATTCCTCTGCGAGGAGTTTTTGTGAGCTCTATCTTAAAATACACTACTCAAACAAATAAGGGGGGTTTTGAAAAAAGGAATCTAAAGCTAAATAAACAGGCTATCTGATCCATGGGCCAGCCTAACTAAAAGAATTTTTTTCAAACCCGTGGTCCATAATATACCATTTTCACCGAAATATATCCTGCTAAAAATCACCGAAAAATTTTAAATTTTTTTTGCTCCTTAATTTTTTTTTAGTGTATCATCTGCCTTTATTAATAGGAAAGCTAAGCCAACATTGTCGTTCTTTGCTATCAAAACCAGATAAATTTTCGTGGACCCTCACTAACTACTTGTGAACCCCCATTTCTTTTTCACGTCAACGTAGACCCCCGTCGAGTCTTCCGTGAACCCCTGAGAAGCCATCTGAACCACTTTGGGAATCACTGACCTAAACAGTAGTGATAATAGAAGCTGTTTCACGGCAGATGTCAGTGATGCTTTGCTAAGTTAAATATGTATTTATCGCGAGCAAAACGTAAACAAATGCGTCACTATTTTTTTCGATGAATAAATCACAAAACAGGTCCATCGAACGCAAAATGTTAATAGCCAACTTATCTTAGTTGGCGAGACAGTTATTTAAGCAAACTTAGATAACTTGAAAAATAATCATTAAATCGATTACCTAAATTGTAAATATAACTATACATATGTATATGTATATATCAACGATCGCGCATAGCTTCCGGGGACAACCATAATAGTAGATCAACAAATAAACATACGAATATATGTATGTAGATATTTTGCTGGGATTTCCCATTCTTATGATTTCGATAATTTGACAGTTTTGAGAGTGTTTTCCCCGAAGCACATTCTTGACAAGTGATAAATATTTAGTATCACATGGATAACTTTTGTTGGACTGTGATTATACTTATAGTAGGGGCGTTCTTAAAAATAACAACATTGTATAACGCTTGACAGAAGAATTTACTATTAAATTGCAAAGTCAGAATTAACATAAGTGATGACAGGTAAGTCCCAAATGGGTTCTAAAAGCACAAAATAGTTTTTGTAAAAATTGCAGATAGAGGCTATTGAATATAAGCCCTCGATATGTATGTATAATTGAAATTTTTGACTTTGAATTCTTTATGAATATATTTCAAAAATATGCCAAATTTATCAGATTTCAAGCCGCATATTTACGATAAAAAAAATTACATTTTTTCAAACCGTGGTAGCGATTCCTTTCTTAAATTTGAAATTTTCGTTTCATTTTCATTTTGTAGATAGAAAAATATAAAAGGGTGCCCCATGTTGTTGATATTTTATGGACCTACATACATACCTATGTACATATGTATGTATATACATATTTATAAGTACATATGCACTAATGAATGAAGAGCTTATTTCTGCAGCGAAAACAAACGTTTTTAAAAATACTTAAGTACATAAATATATATGTATATATATATATATATATATGCATATGTATGAGCACTTCATGCTTGCTAATTGTTTGTATAAGCCGATTACGTAGCTCTGTACGAATGGTTTACATAGCCACAAATCTGCTCTTGCACTTGGGCTTGCAAGCCGAAATAATGAAATTCGCACATTAAACAAAATAATTAACAAGTTTTATTGGCAACAAAATGATGCTGAAAATTTTTAAAAGTCTTTAACGACTAAAATTTTATACTTTATGTTGAAGGAACTTTGCATTGTATTCGTTATCCCCTCTTCGTCTTTACGGCCTTTGATGCCTCTCCTAATCATTATTTTAACAAATTTAAGAAATTCATTGCAGCTATTGGTTGCAGCCTATATGAGACAACTAAATGTTAACCGCACTCCCTGTATTTTTTAATACAGATAGGCAACTTTGGTTTTCATGGTCTTATACATATGAAGGTGTGTGTATTAAGGTGGACTTGTTTTATAAAATTTTACAAAATTTACAAATTTTAATAGGTGGATAGGCTTGTATAGCTAAAGCCCTAAGTGTGCTTAAATATCGATACTGCTATTCCGTATTCATAAGGGACCTTTTTGTAAATGATGGATATCTGCAGCTATACCCAATCTTTTCCGACTTATAATAAATATTGCAGTTCGTCTTCTTTTTTTGTCAAGCATTTATTGTAATATTGCATCGGTTTTACACCACGCTCTGCGGTATCATACACAGCTCTAAGTGCACTTATGATTCTCTTACCATTCCTAAAATCTTCACCATCTTGCCACACAGTTGGATTTTTTTTTTTTTTTCAAAAATGTCTTGGAACTGTTGAAATGCTCAAATAGTTTGCCAGTGTTTGGTGTAATCAAATCAGCAAATTGATTTTCTAGAAGCATGGTTACGTCAACCACTTTGAATTGAGGATGCTTACAATATTCAACACCTTCTTCATCATAATTGGTATGAAAGGAATTTAAGTTTTGCAACATTCTCAGTTTATCCTCCAAATGAAATGTTATCCTCAAAGAATGAAAACGCTAGATATTCATCTGATAAGTAAAAAAGAGTTTGTAAATTTGCCAGCCACTTTTGTTTTTGGCCTTTTTTCATCAAAATTCTTATAGTCATGCATATTTCGCAGATATTGAATCTCATAATGCAGTGCTTCAGGATGGCAATGGAACGAAACCAAACAACCTTCACTTAAAAACTTACTATGAAAAGGCAAATTTATTTTTCGTGTTGCGTTAATATAAATTTGTCTTTAAACATATATAATATCAGCGAATAAAGGCTTTTGATATCCAGCACGTATGGTGCATAGGTCCAGGTGATCTAAAACTCGTTTCAGCTAGGCTGTTCTTCATTAATGCTGTAAGGCTCTGGAACTCAATTCCTGAATTAAATTTTTAAACTTAAACTTAAATTTTTTAAGCTTAAACCGTTTTGTTATTTGAGAGGATTTTTTCATCTTTAAGAAACTATTTTTATTCTTAAACAACTCCAATTTTGGAGGTATTTTCAAATCGGTCTAACTTAAGTAAATCTTAATATTTTTCCGAAATATTTTGGTGGACGTCTTAAAATATAATAGATTTTATAATTCCAATGGAAACACAGTACCGATTTTTTTTTTTTTTTGTATGGGAAGTGATGCAGTCTAATATACATATGTACTGAATGAATTCGGTATTTAGAGAATAAACGAAAAACTATTCCAAAAAAAAAAGACAAATGATAAAAAATTTGCGAACGAAAATAAAAAATGTTTCTCGGAGTTGAAAAATTAGCTGAGTAACATATTTTATTGGTGTTTTTCATGTCGATTTCGTTTCTGGCGAGAAATGTAACCTCCTCTTTGCCCTCTACGTATAAACACTAAGAGGAGGGCGATGAGAAGGCAACACTTTTTGGAGAAACTAAATCGCCATTAATATTCAAATCAACAACTTTTTTTTTATATTTTTTTGCGCAGTAGAAATGGATTTTATTATGTGCTGGTGAAACATCTTAAGTTGTCTTCGATCGAGTATAAATAGGTTCCGCAAAACTGTCACTCGACATTAGTTTGAATTGGAAAGACAGCAGCAACGCACGCAACGCCCAGCTTGCACGTACCGTAAACGCGGTCCTTTATAATTTTTGTTTGCCTTCTAAATACATATATACAAATATCCAAACGCATACTTAAAACCATGAAATTTGTGTTTATTGTGACGCTGTTGATCGCAGCTGCTTCGGCGATGCCACAATACGGTGGATATGGTGGATATGGTGGTCCCGGTGGCTTTGGAGGTGGTTTTGGTCGACCTGGTGGTGGATACGGTGGCTTTGGTGGCTTTGGAGGACCTGGTGGTGGATTCGGTGGTCACGGTGGTCACGGTGGTCACGGTGGCTTTGGAGGTGGTCACGGTGGCTTTGGAGGTGGTTTTGGAGGACTTGGTGGTGGCTATGGACGTCCAGGCGGCTATGGAGGTGGTTATGGACCTGGTGGTTTTTTCGGCTAAATGCCAGCGACGAGTGTAATTTAGTTTTTAGTAGATTTCTGTTAGATAGTTCAAATTGTATGCAGGACGCATGCACTCAAACACTTACTGCAAGGAAGCTGAACAGCATTCTGTTTTTTTTGTGATTTTTAATAAAACAAAAACCAAAAATATATTAAGAAAATTTCAGTTGTTTTATTTATTTTATTTTTTTTTTTGAAATATGAGAAAACTAGAATGTTTGAAAGAAGGTCAAGTTGAGTTTTATGAAGGCCATTTCTAATGTATACATGCTTAGTGAAAATATGTCAAAATATGTATCTAACTGTATCTTGTCTCCTTATCTCTTTGTATGGATCCTTATACAAATACATTTTTAATCAAAAACTAACTACTTGCAATACTCAAGCTAAAAAACTCATTGCACTTTTAAGCATAAATTTTAAATAATTATGATGTAATAGTTTTTGCATGAATACTCATTTTTGGAGGGCTCGCGACACATTAGCAACCCGAAGATGGTAGGCTGAACCATTAGGCCGACGATAGTCGGTGAAGGAGTGACATAACTAACCGCTAACGCGACATTATATTGCCCGCATTTTGCGAGAGAGCATATCCTGTGTTACTTCATTCGAGGAGGGGCTCAGGTACCAGTTCAGGGTTGATGATGAGCGCAAGGTTTTATAAGTGCTCGGACCAATGGGGCTGGCCATCATACTTTACTCGTGGGATGGCAGTTGGCGAAATTGGCTCGAATTGCCGCGTTATATCCTCCTACATATAACCTACTCTAAATACAGTGGTTGAGACGCGCCGAATTGTGAATGCCAGTTCTTTACCTTGGTCTTTTGCCTTGTCCCTAAATATGACACGACCCGACCAAATGACCGTTGTGTAAAATGTCTCCGTCGAATGCTTCGCGCAAACAAAAAAAAATATCGGATGTTCATTACAACGCTTTTATCAACTTGCAATGTTGTGTTCCAGAAACTTTCAATGTTGTGGATCCAGAAACTTTCAATGTTGTGTGTCCGACACCAAAGCAAAGCTTTGAAA